ATTGAGCTATACCACCAGCCAAAGTGTATGTTTAAAATGAAAATATAAATGACGAGGCTAGCTACAACAGGCACTAAAACATACCATAAAGCTCACATGCATAATCCTAGCATTGAAGAGACAGAGGCCAGGGGATTATAATTCCAGACCAACTTGGGCTAGATCGGAAGAACATGCCTGTCAAATAATTATTACAATAGCAGCAATAATAATAATAATGAAAGAGAAATTATGAGGCTCAAATAGTGAAATGAGAAGGCACTTATACAAAAATTCAGAATAATGTCAATGCTAAAATAATAGAAACTCTAGTATTTTAATACGATAAAAAGGATATAATTAATCTGTATAGCAATTAATGATTATTCACCAAATTGTGATGGAACAGCCTAGGTCCTTTGCAAAGAAAAATAAAACAAGTAACAAAGTAATGTGGAAGTACATCTGGCATTGTGAAACAAAATAAATTGAAGATAATTTTAGTAATTACATATGAATGGATTAAACATTAAAGACCATGAGGAATCATTACTCGATGCTTATAAAATGTCTGAATATTAGAGACATGTCTACTAGAAAATGTCTATAGAGAAAGTTGAGAATAAAATAACATATCAAAATTTACATTTTGATAGAATTAGTTACATAAAAATAGTAAAAAAAATGAAACCATACAGTCCTAAATATCCACAACACAAAATAGGCAAATAACAAAGGAAAATATTTCTAATATATATTTCAGTTAGTTGCTATTTAAAGTATATCATGTGCAAATCAAACAGCATAGCAGTCAAAGGATAAGGCCAGCATGAAAAGGAAAAATAAATGGATGGTAATATGACAAGTTCCACCTTACTAATATTTGAAAAAAAATTTGAAAGGAATGAATCATGTCATTTTTCACTTTTTAGATTAGCACATTTTAAAAGATTATTACACAAAGAGATAAGACAGACAAATTCATGTACTGCCAATTGGATTTAAATTAATGCAACTATTCTCTAATACCATTTGGGGTTACTTCTGCATACCTTAGTAATGCTTCTTCTATTCATGGCATACATATAGATGTAACTATAAGGATGGTCATCTCTCCATTACTTCTATACTTTTATAGTAGCAAAATATTGGGACCAGTTTACATATTCTCCAGAAGAGAAATGACTAGTAAATTGTGATATATTTGCATAATATAAAATGAATACATGGCCATTAAAGATTGTGTTCTCAATATTAGATGTCAGACATTTAATAACAGAAAATTTCTACAAAGAAAAGATAGAACACCACATTGCATGTCTAGTTAACTCTTTAGAGGACTACAGAGGCATATTACACTAAGAAAAGACATGGCATCTTTTATCATAATTTCAGTCTCAACTTAACCATCTCATGTAGTTTGCAAGATATAGCCCTGGGCATACACTTTATTAGGGTATTGACTGTATACCCCCAGGTTGCATACTGCAGAACTGAGACTTCTAGTCTGACTTATGTCCTCTTAGTTTTAGACTATGTTTGACCTGTCTTTAGTCTTTGGTCATTTTACTTGACATATGTAGTAACAGAAAAATTATTGGCGTAAGTGTAAGTATAGATTTAAAACATAATAACATTTATGTATATCCTACATTATGTGTTATTTACACTGTCACTAAATAAATTATTGTATGAGTGGTTTCTAGAACAGTAAGTACCACAATGTGTTTAATCCATTTACTACAATACTCCTCAAGGTTTAGAAATGAATACTACATGTGCTTTTGCTTGGAGAAGGCATGGAGCTTCTTGCTCTTATGACAAGGACAACTTTGACATTAGTTTGACATGGGTAGCCTAATAGAAGGTGCAGAACCATATTAAAGGCAAGACATGGGCTTAAGTTCTCCTTTGGTGAAAGATTTGGAAGATTTCCTGAAGACCATATGCCTCCATAGCATGCTTCTTTGTAAAAGTATACCCTTTTCTCCAATATCACTCTTTAAAGATTTCAATCTCCATAGTAGCATCACCTACACATAGAGTTTATTTCAAAAACTTGTCTCTCTCGAATAAGAAGAATTCTGGTTGACTTGGAAATGAACTTGATCCTGAATAGGTCTTACCAAGCCCTCAAATCGTATAGCACATCACCTACTCTCTCTATCTGTTTCAAAACAAAAACTGCCATCATTTTCACAATCACCCCAATTATACTGTTACTTCTGACAGCAATAATATCTAATGGTTGCTCTTTTATTATAAATGTGATGCTGACTTATGAGGTCCTTATGATTATTAGTACTGAATACCACAAATATAGAAGTTATGTTTCAAATATCCCTTTAGTAGTATTTCAGTCTCATATTAAAATATGAAGTCACTCTTGAGCATGAAAATTGTGATTGCTAGATTATTAGCCATTAGATGTGAAGACAGATGGAAAATCTGTGTAAGCATATGAAAATACAGAAGTGTGTGTGTGTGTGTTTGTGTGTTTGTGTGTGTGTGTGTGTTTTATGAGATGTGTTTAATTCCACTTATGGCTTAATCCATAGAACTTTATGGTACAAATATATGTTTTATGACAAAATTAGGTTTAAAATAAATATAAAGAACTGAAAATTAATTTTAAAAATTCAGATCAGCAATTTTTGCCATTGTTTTCAATGGCTTTTTCTTCATAAACAAGGTTGTAGGTTGATATTTCAAAACTATGAGTTGTGACCTTTACAGAATTTCTTCTTCATGAAATTATCTTACTAAGTTGGGAACCTGTTAGGCTCCTATGGGAGAGAGATAGAAGGGAGAGAAAAAGAAAATCTAAAGTAGTTTTCTTTTCTATTGGCTATAAAGCCAGGTTTGGGTCCTGAACCAATGCTTATGTCACTTTCTAAAATCCTCTTTTTGGGGGGGGGGTTCAAGACAGGGTTTCTCTGTGGCTTTGGAATCTGTCCTGGAACTAGCTCTTGTAGCAGCCTGGTCTTCAACTCACAGAGATCCACCTACCTCTGCCTCCAGAGTGCTGGGATTAAAGGCATGAGCCACCACTGCCGGCTACTTACTAAAATCTTTAACATCCTTTAGTCAGTTTGCTTCAGCTCAAAAGCATTTTGTCACACCAAATGCCACTAATAAATTGCAAGTTAGTGTGAATCCTCACATCCTATCATTTAATACTGTGACACCAGAGTTTTGGAAGTGATGTACTAGGTATTGGTTATGTTATAGGGTCCCAGAGTCTTCCTGGAGGGAAGCATGAATATCTGTTGACCTCAATTTGTAGGATCTCCAGTGTACCTGTTTGTTTCAGAGAGTTGGCACAACGCTGTGGGAATACTGCCATCATTCTTGTATCTGAGAAAAACACTTAAGTTTTAATTCTTGCAATGCAATGGGAACCATGTGATTGCAGCTTAAGTTTTAAATGTCTTCTAAGAAGTCCCAAACTAATCTGTATGCAAACCTGTGCCATCTAAGTAATAAGCCCTTTATCCAGGAATGTTATCTTCACATTTTTAGTTGAATTGTGATCCATATCACAAATTAAATAATGGATTTTTTAATGGTATCTTCAAAAGGATACCCAAATAATCCATCACTCAGATGTATCTCCAAGTACAGAAAGCCTCTTGCTTTCTCACCTTTCTGCAATATGATTGCATTCTGAAGGATTGAGTATGCTTTAAACTTCTGACTAGCTTGCTCGGTGCACTCACAAGGTGGTGTTAATGAGGCCAAGGTCAAGAGTGCAAGAAGGTTTTGCTGTGTGTTGACCACAGACTACCGGGAATCAGTCAAGAGATGATAGCACAGGCCAGAAAGGCATCATGACAAAACCTCAGCACTTCTCAGTCCGGGCTCCCCATGAAGAGACAGGATATGCTAGTGGGCCATCATCATCTTAGGGAGGAAATGAATATCAGTTTGGGAGGCTCCAACATCTACTTCTGAACAAAGCAGGCCTGACATTTAGGCATTAACTTTGCATTATAATCTCCCATCATACCATTGATTTGCTGTGTAACCTTCATCACTAAAGCAGAGATAATAGGATGGAATGAAATGGGCTTACCTCCCGGGGATGTTGTGTGAATTAGCAAATTAACTAGTGTAAAGTGTTAGCATTTATGTAAGTGCTGGTGGTTGTCATTATTTCTAGGGACTGAGTCTCATTCTAAATAGAGAATCTAAGTATGTTATGCTTTTGCCAGGAAGAGATTTTCACCCACATCAATTGCATTTAAGCTGAGCATAAAACAGAGGTGATAATAATATAGTAGTGATCATCACAATGCAGAGCTGTAAGCCTTCTCCCTATTAAAGCAAAAACTATTTTCAGCAACTTTCAATGCTTTTAAACTTTGCTTTCCAAGCTTCGTGCCAACAGTCATCTCTATAGTGATTATTCTTCCTGTGATGGGTAGGGGGAGTGGGACCAAGAATAGGTCCCATTCATTATTCATTCCTGTAATGACTATATAATGTATTGAATTTGTTTACATCATACAATCAGGCAAACTCAGTAGCTGCTTTGATTGCCATGTATTGCAATCATTGTTTTAAAAAAAGAAAAGAAAAAAACTTTTGCCCCCACTCTGCATACACTGATGTCCTTTAGAGGTAGACAGCACACAAATTGAAAATTCATGGGGGATTGAAGAGGTTTTTAACAAAAGGCACTGTACATAGATCTTTTCAATTTAACATCTTCACCAGGGAATTTTGTTGTCACCTGCTTATTTCCAAGGAGTCTGTGCTTGAGAGAATTCTTCCATTTCTTTTATCACTCTGCCTCTGCTTACCAAGAAAAATCATTTCTTGCTGATTGCAGAACTCTTGAACTCAGCCTGGCAGCTGCAGTGTAAACGCCTCAGATCCGGGCTCTTTGCAGCTTATTTCCATATTCATTTGAAGTGATTTTTCAAGACTGTTTGAAAACCTCTCTTGACCTGACACTGTGCAATAGTCAGGATCTAAAATTCACTGTGTGTTCCCTTCTTCTTCTGTTTGTCCTATAGATAACAGACGGACCCCTCTGGAAAGATCACGTTCTCGCCACAGTGGAGCCATGTCAGCCAAGTGATTCCTGATGCCAGAGAGAATGGAGACATTTAAGAAAACAAAATCATCCATCTTGAGAAGAATAAAATATACACTCAAGGGTTTGAGTGGAAATAAATGCATTTTAACAAAGGTCAAGCTGAGCTGGGTGAAGTAATGTGTATTTGTAGGAGTACTGTAAGTACACTAATCTGAACCCAGCTGTCATGATTAGAAAACATTTGTTCCTCTGTAGTATAAAGACGCACATTACTTGTCATTGTGTGTGATGGCCTGACTGTGAAGATGAAAGTATGAAAAACAAATCATAAGGCTTCTACAAACATTCCAGTCCGTCAAAGAATTTAAAACTGAAATTTCTTGGTCATACTTACCCACTCCACCCCACCCTCCCCTAAAAAACAGGAAGGAAGGAAGGAGAGAAAGAAAGAAAGAAAGGAAGGAAGGAAGGAAGGAAGGAAGGAAGGAAGGAAGGAAGGAAGGGAAAGTGCAATCAATGGGAAGAATTTTCAGTCTCTACTTCTAGCTCTTCTTATGTATATAGTGTAAAGTCCAAGAGAATGGGTGTGTTAATGATTGACAAGGTACACATAGCACACTCTGGAAGAGAAGCCCCAATCAAAGTATTTAGAACTGTTCTCAAGTGAAAACTGATGGAGTCATCCATTTGGCAGAAATTCATCCTACCGTTAGTCTAGTGTTTCAGCATGACATCACACACACTTACCCATTACTAAAAATAAACCAAAGTTTAACAGAATCAGCTAGATTTCAACTTTATTTAACAAGTATTTTCTAATTATGCATAAAAATCTGCCTTACAGAATTTCTTTATATAGATATTTTTGAGAAAACCTCTACATGTTCATGCATATATTAGGGATGAGCCTGAAAATTTTATTGCCTTTCTTTCGATTGGAGAGGAAGATATTGATTCCGGTTCTTCGCTCCAGTGCTTCTTTCTCCCTTCGCCCCTGAGAACTAGGGAATAGAGCAATAGAACTGTTCAGAGGAAGAAAAGGGATTTCTTTACACAGGAGGCAGTAGGAAACTTTGGAAAGGTCAATTGTTTTCTCTCCCTTTCGACCCCTTTTCCCATTCTACTTTGGTGGTTGAAGTAAAGCAAATTTCTGTGCCTGCAAGTGTATGTGAGTATGTGTGCACATGTGAGCGTGCCTATGTGTGCATGTACATGTATGTGCACATGGGTGTGTGTGTTTATATCTCTTCATGTAGTAATTCCATACCCCAGTAACAAGGCAAACCTCTCTGTCATCATCATACTTACTTACCTTATATTATTAACACATTTCAGTGATGCTGCCAAAACAACGCTACCAGATAAAGAAGCTCAGCATTGTTTTAAATGTGTAAGAGAGCAGAAGTTATACTTAACCTGTCTATTCTCTTACAATGTGCATTCGTAATAATTGGTGTAAGTTCTCTGGAGTGTAATTTCAAGATTAATTCATGCAGATGATTGTGATTGCTGTAAAAGATTGCTTGTATGTATATTTCTTATGTAGAAAATTCTGTTTCTCCAAAGCACATTATAAACATTCAGAGAAAAGAACAAATGGCTGACTTGGCAAGCCACCTTCTGAGATAATGTAAACAAGTGACCAGTAGCTCACAGAATCTTTATACAGATGTATAGTAATTTAAACTGTTGCCTTTCACTCTAGTGCATTCTTACTTGGGTATTATACTTTAAAATACTCTGGAGCTGCTATTAAGTAGAGAAATCAGAAGGTAAAAATGTCTGAGTCTTTTTCCATCTTTTCTTAAGTGAAACTACACACATGAACACACAATACACACTTAAGAACATACCACTTTCACACACTTTTTTAAAAAACGATAACCACAAAATTTACGTTCTACTATTTGATGTAAATAACTACTGTAGGCATTTTTGACTTTACAAAGTATTTTCTGAAATATTGTGGTATGGCTTCTTTGACGTTTTGTGTTTTGTTTTTATATCTTTTCAGGCTGTAGAAAATTGATGTTGAAATGTAAACTTTGCCTGAAATTTGGGGCATTTGCCCTGCCATATTATCTAACTGGTCAAGGTTGAAATAGTTACATGTATCACCTTTTCCAGATGTGAACTTGCCTTATTTTCTAGTTTGTAAACAAGAATGAATGAAGTACTATTATTGATAAATTATATATTTGTATTTAAATGCATTCCACATGCTTTTCACAAGCATTAGAAAACCTTTCGAGGGACACATAATTAACTTACATGGCTTACAATAGTCCTGTTCCAGCTACTTGCACTTTTTGTTTTAGGTTGAAAGGTATCATCCAAAAAGTTACATAGTGCCATTCTTAAAACCAAATTAGGCTGAAGTATTTTATTTATTTTTTGTTTATTTCTGCCACAGATGAGAAACACCATTTCTACAACTTTTTTCTCTAGAATGTTACAGAAACAAGATAGCTGGTTAGAATAGTTTCTTTTGGCTACTGTAATGCTTGACCATAAATCTGATGGTTTAAGTAAGACCACAGCAATGTATTCTCCCATGGTCCTGGAGGCTAGAATCTTGACATGTGGGCATCAGACCATTCATGCTACCTCCAGCAACTACAGCAGAGGCCCCTTCTTTGCCCTGCTCATCTTCAGATGGCCAAAGGCATTATATGGCTTATGACCACATTTTTTCTCTGTTCCTCTTCATATCATCTTGTCCTCTGTGTATCTGGTCTCTCTCTTCCTCTCTTATAAGGATTCTGATGTTGGCGTTTAGAGACCACCATGCTAAAACAGGATAATCCCCTCACCACAGACCTTGAACTTTATGATCTCTCTCTGACTCTTCTTCCAAACATGCTAACATTCTTATCTGGCCTGTCTGCCAACAGATCCCCCAAATTTATGTTTGTCCCATATGTAAAGTGCATTTACCCAATCTCAGCATTCCCTAGACTTAATCCTAATTTTCATCCAAATTTCTTCTAGTCCAATAATCTAGATTGTCTAATGAAGTATGAGTGATATGCCCAATCTTGAAACAATATCCTTTTTCTACCTGGGACTCAATGACAAAACAAATAAAAATGAGCTATTTTCTTCTAAAATAGCACTGGGTAAGGCATGAACTAATAACAAAGACACTCCTGCTCCAAAAGGGAAAGAACAGAAAGTAGATAGGAGTCAACTGCCCCAACAGTTCTCAAAGAAGCCAGCCTAACAAGTTGTCCATTGGTGTTAAGGCATGGCAATGGCTTTCTGTCTGATAACACTCTTAGGAACTGCAGCTCTTTTCTCTTGGATATAGGACTAGACCTCTGTTCCAGGGCTCAGGTCTCTGCCTTTGTACCCATAGCTGGTCTTGTCATCGGGGTACTCCTTTTATAACTTGAAAGTGATGACATTTTTGCAGATGAATAACTGTATTAGCTTGTTCTCTGCCCGTGGTGATCTATCTGGCAGCCTTCTCTCATTTCCTACCTGTCCTCCTCAAGCCAAGCCAGTAGTATTCTGATAATTATTATACTCTCAAAAAGCATGTGGGACTTCTATGTAGGTCATGTCAACCCATACCTTTAGAAAGGGGTGACCTCACAGTTCTTTCCTAGATAGCTAGCTTCAGCTCCGTGTGTGGCTTTCTCTGAGATAGTTGAATGAATCCAAGAATGTGTTCCTGATCCATTCAGTGACATCCTTTAAAAGCTGGTAGGACATACCTTCATCTTCACGCCACAGCAGTCCTCACACAGAATTTCCTCATTTTACCATCTTTAAGAGTAACAAACTTTACCAAATTAAGTGCTATTTCCTTATTGACACACAATTCTTTCTTGAATTGCCTCTTCTTTCATTTCCTTCTATTTAGATTTTTTTGTAAATTTTAAGGACAAAAATTATGATATTTTCATGCATATTTTCTTTTTCTGTTGACCCTTCTCCCCAACTTCTATCCTCCTGCCCCTCACTTCCACCACTACCCCAGGGTACAAACCCATCAGTAACTTCCATTTCACTTTCATGTCTCATATAGTATCCTCTGTTTTCCTCCCCACTCCCTTAAAACTTCTGCCCTGCCCCCAGCAGGAATGAATTAGCTCATACCTCCAACACTTAGCTTGCCAAGCTCCTCACCTAAATACCCAACTTTATCACTTACAAGATCAAGATTGGCTTTCCACAAAACTATTGGAGACAATTCACATAAGTTGTTGTTTTGTTTGTTTTCTGATTTGCTGCTATATAACAACTGCCTTTCTTCTGGTTCCCAAAACAATATTCATTTCCTGTTGTGTTCTCACCAGAAATACCTTTAACATCCACATTCCCATCAGTGGTTTGGCTCACGCAATCTATAGTTTCTCTAATAAGTTCGTCATCAAAACTTGTTCTAACTTCTGCCCAGTCTCCAATCCCAAAGCCACTTTAACATCTGTAGGTATCTGTCATATCAATACCCCATCTCATACTAAAATTCCTATTAGAGTCCTATGGTTACTGTAACAGATTCCCACAAACACAGTGGGATAAAAAAGTAGATTTCCTGTTCTGTAGTCTTTTTAAGGCCACAAATCCAAAACCAAGTTATTGGCAGGACAGCACTCCTCTGCAGGCTCTAGTAGAAAATCCACTCTTTGTCTGTCTTGTATGATTTTTTAAATTATTTCTTGGATTGTGGCTTCATCCCACTTTGCTCTGTCTTTTGAAATCTTCCCCTCTGTATATATAATCTACCTCTGTCTCTCTCTTGTAGGATAATTTTGATAAACCATCCAGATTATCTATGACAACATCCTCACACAGCCTAAATTTAGTTACACCTGCCCATACCTGCTTAACCAATATAACAACATCTCAAATTCTGATGATTAGCACATGACCAAACATGTCTTTTTTGTGGGGGACCTAATTCAACCACTATAGTAGTCATTGCAAATAAATGTACTTTATACCTTTTAAAATGCATCCTTGGTGCCCAAGCCAAATTTATTAAAAGCTAATGTCTGCACAGGATACTGCATGCTTTGTTATTATATAGACAAAAGGCTATTCTAAATTTTGGTTGATGCTTTTGCCACTGTAGTCAATTAGCTGAAAAAAATTCATGGATCTCTGCTCTAGTGTATCTGTTCTACCCTTTTTATGAAGTCTTTGTTCAGATGTCTTCTATGATGCATAATGCAGGCACAAAACTACCTCTGATACAGAAGGGTTCTTTACAAGCTTCCTTTATATATTGCAAATCCCTCTGCTGAAGGGAAAGGTAAAAGCAAAGACTGTATTGAATGGGTATTGAGGGAGATTGTGTCCATAGCAAGCCACCTTAAAGAAATAGTTCAAGTAGCAAAAAAAATCTGTCAATTTGTGCTCTCGTTTCACCTCGGAATAAACACCTGTATCTGTGCTGGACCAATAATGACTTGCAATTTCTATATAATGCCTACTAATTCAATAAAGCTCAGATTTGCATTAAATGTTGTACTGTCTATGATTCAGACTAAATATGAATGAAAAGACATGGATGGTGAAGTGTCAAGAGGATGCAAGGATATTGTAGGAAAAGCTTTAGCTAAACAGAGCTTCGGGAGTGTTTTTGGAAGGGCCAGTTCAAGTAGTCATCATGAACTGTCTTCAAAGACTTGCATACTTAAGAGAACGTTAAGATGTTCCTTAGCATTCATGCATTCTGCTCATCAGAATAGTAGAGAAATGTTTACAACTAAAAAGCCATGCAACACACGAACTGTTTTGGCAGAGCTATTTGTACATTGCGTGTAGTGCTAAAGCAAAAGGGCTTCAGATGCCCAGAGGGATAATGTCCAGGAAAAGTAATGAAGAATGGCAGGGTTTTATTCTCTGGAGAGCTTTCAAAAGGAGCCCACCTTGTGGGTGGTGTGTCAAGATCAAGTACTGGACGATGTAATAAACAGATCTGCAAATGACACAGTCCCGATCTTGGCCTACCCATTGTGTCCTTTGAGATAGTTTGTTCCAGAAATCAAAAACATTATCTGTCTCCCCCACGACCCAAATAAGGAGTCAAAAAAGCAGAGTATTCACAACAGGGGAATTTGAGCTTAAGGCCAAGAATTGAAAAACAAGAACTGAAAACAGCTGGAAATTGAAGAATACAACACATATTATGCTATATACTTTTGATTTATAACAAACGAATGCTATAGCCAAAGATCCCATTTACACAGAGAATTGATTTAGATGTTTAACATCCCAATAGCTACAAGTAAAATATAATTATAGTTAGTGTCCACTGAAGAAAAAAATTGCAGATACATACATTATATAAACCATGACTTTGTACCCACTTCTTGAATAGCCAGCATTAGTCTTTAGCCACGATGACCTTATATCTGGGTTAACAGAGATACAGATAATATTTTTACTTTACCTTGGTAAATTAAGGTCCAATCAATAATTTCACTTTTTGACGCTTATGTGCACAGCATACAAGCTATTAACTTACTAGATATAATAATTCTTAAATAAATTACTTGAGTCATCAAAGTTTGCATTTTGCTAAAGCTTCATCAGCCCCTACCCCTGGTGTGGCTGTTTCTAGTCAGTGTGTACCCACTCAGGGAAGTCACCTTTTGAGGAAAGAGTTATGAATTGAATGTAGCTCATACCATCGTGATGTCAGCCTGGAGGGGGGGAGAAAAACATAAATGTAATTGGAGCAACAGGAGTTTAGAGCACGTATTGCTTTTGTAAACAACTGGGTTTGTTTCTCAACACTACATGGTAGCTCACAACCATATTTAACTCAAGTTCTACAGAATATGACACTTTTCTGGCCTCTGAGGGCACACATGTAAGATAAAATAAATGAATCTCCAAAAAAGAAAAGAAAAAAGAATTGTAATTTAAAATGAAAAGATACTGATCAGTGTCCTAACCATGGCATAGACAAGACCTGTTGAAATACTAAAAAAATCAAATAACTTTTTAAGTATTAGAAGACTAAAGTGGAAAACAAGCACCAATGTAAAGATATTAAAGGCATAGCATTTTAAACTAGAATTTAAAAAGTAATTAGATATAGCTATATGATGACTTTATATATTTACTTAACATAAAAGTTTAATACCTACTACCTGCCACATATAAGGCTAAGCTTTTAGAATATAGCAAAGAATTAAGTCAGATCAATATGGCCTCTGTTCTCATGGAACTTAATTCTTTTTTAGCAGGGAGAAAGGGAAGTCATGGCTATAGGTACAAATCTGAACCCTTCTGTACATATACAGATATCATTAAACAATTCGATATACTAGAATTAAAGACCCATTGTGATGGTTTGACCTCAATCTTGAGACCAGGCTGTCCTCAAACTCAGAGATGAGCCAGCCTCTGCCTCCTAACTGCTTAAATTAAAGTCATGCACCAGCAAGTTGGAAGCTAAGCTGGGTTGGATATTGCCCTGAGGTTACCACTCCCTTTAGTTCATTTCTCAATCTGCTTATCTCCTTGAACACAGGATTTAGCTCCATTCCACTTCCTGGTGTCCCTTTGCACTTCAGTTGATACATTTTGTATTTTTCCTTGCTCAGCTGGCTCCTTTTTATTATAAATCTTTATAAGCATGAACACTAGTAACCACATGACAGAGTCTATACTAGGCTGCTTTGAGATTTCCTTTGTGAATGCTACTAATCCAAATCTCTTCACTTTAGCCTCAGGCAGACTCTTCAGTCAAGGGCAAAAAACAACCACATTCTTCACCAAAATATCACAAGAATGATCGCTAGGCATCATACTAAAATTATTCTTCTCTGAACTTTCTTGAGCCAGGATGCCACAGTTCAAATCTCCCACAGTATCACTATCTTCCATGCTTCTACCAGTATGGCCCATTAAGTGCCACTTAAAGTGTTCAACTGTGTTGGTGGTGCACGCCTTTAATCCCAGCACTCGGGAGGCAGAGGCAGGCGGATCTCTAAGAGTTCGAGGCCAGCCTGGTCTACAAGAGCTAGTTCCAGGACAGCCTCCAAAGCAACACAGAGAAACACTGCCTTGAAAAAGCAAAAAAAAAAGTGTTCAACTGCATTTGTAATCGAAATTCCCAAAGTCCACATTCCTCCAAACAAAAGCATGGGGAGGTCTATTACAATATTCCAGTCCCTGGTACCAACTTCTGTCTTAGTTAGGGTTCCTATTGTTGTGAATAGATACCATGACCACATCTTTTACAAAAGAACATTTAGTTGGGGATGGCTTATAGTTTCAGAGGTTAGTACATTATTGTCATGGTAAGAAGCATGACAAAATGCAGGCAGACATGGTACTGAAGAAGGAGCTGAGAGTTCTACATCTTGACCTGCAGGTAACAGAAAGTGAACTGTCATACACTGGGCATGAGTATGTATGAGATCTCAAAGCCTACCCACGATGGCATACTTCCTCCAACAAGACCACGCCTCCTAATAGTGCTACTCCCTATGGACCAAGCATTCAAACATATCTATGGGGGCCATATCTATTCAAACCACCACACATATATGCATAATTAAATCATTTTTAAAATTTTAAAAAGAAAAGGTATGAAATACAAAGGAAGATGATGATTCCAGAAATTCTGTGTAGGAGGGAATGTGGCAGGACTGGGGTTACAGCTCAGTGGTAGAGTGCTTACTTAGCCTGCATGAAACCTTAGTCAATCCTTAATGTTGCTAAAATAATGAGAATGAGAGACAAGAAAGGGGGCCATAGAAAGCAAACCTTGCTGGAAGATATTGCGGTAATACTATTGAGAAGTGAAGGCGCATGTTGTTGATTCAAGTGACAGCAAACAAATTGGCTATCGGTGGGTCATTGAGATCATGATGAAGGGGAGCAGCCGAAGGTTTTAGATTGAGTGGCAAGTGATGTACATCCCACAGCAAAGGTGAACACAGAAGAAATGATCCTTTCAGCAGTATTTTGAACATACACCGCTGCAGCTCTGAGATGTATTGTAATCTTATTGCCCTAGTTTGCTTTGTAATACTGTGATAAACAGCATGCCTTTGGTGGCTTTAATGAAAGTGGCCTCCATATGCTCATATACGTGAATGCTTAGTCCCAAGTTAGTGGAGCTGTTTGGGAAGAAATGAGAAGTGTGACCTTCTTGGAGGAAGAGTGTCACTAGAGATTAGCTTTGAAGTTCAAAAGCCCACATCAGACCTAGTCTTGTTCTCTTTGCCTTTAGCTCTCAGCTACTGCTGCAACACCATGCATGCATGCTTGCATGCCACCAAGCTTCCCACCATGATAGCCACAGACTAACCCTATGAAACTATTAGCAAGCTCCCAAATTAAATGCTTCCTGATCATGTTGTTTCATCCCAGCAACAGAACAGTTACTAAGACAATGAACAAAAGTCACTTTGTGAAAAAATAGTTAATTTGGCTTGTAAGTCTATGTCAGTCCTTCATTGAGAGAAAGCAAAGTAGAAACCCAAACAGGACAGGATCCTGGAGGCAGGAACTGAAGCAGAGATCATGGAGGAGCCTGCTTACTGGCTTACTCTTTGTGGCTTGCTCAACTTGTTTTCTTATAGCACACAAAGCCACCTGCCTCTCCCTCATCAATTACCAATGAAGAAAATGCTCCCACAGACTTCCTACATGTCAGCCTGATGGAGGTGTCTTTCTCCCCGGGTGACTCTGGCTTATGTCAAATTGTCAAAACAAACAATAACAACAACACCAAAACAAGTAACCAGCACATGTCTATCTATATAGTGTTGAGTTCTCGTGCAAACCGGATTAATGTGTATCATGAGTTCATGGAGAAAGAAATCAGACAAAAGAACAGGATTCCCCCACAGCTTAAAAAGTAATCTGGTGTTTACAGTAATAAAGAAAGCTAACTTCTTTGGGTTGCTTCCTTTTCCTGTCCACCCACTTTTTAGTGATACTGAAAACCAAACCTTGGAACAATTCTTCAAAGAAGTAAGAAACCAGAAAAGACTGAGATGACATTAAGATGTCCTGCTTTACTTTTGGTCTCACACCAACAGGAAAGAAAGGCATTTAGATGAAGTCTAATTTATGGGAAAGACTTTAATTAGTTCAGAGTTAGAGCTTCTTAAGTGTCTGCTTAATATTTCAAACTGTACATTTAAGAGCTTCTTAAGCAATTACTACTCTCTCCAGGAGCAGCAGGCAGCCAGAATGCTTCATGCTTGTAATCTCGGCTCTTTGGGTAGTAAGCCATGTGGATCACCCCAAGTTCAAGATCAGTCTGAGCTGCAAAACAAGGCCCTGTCTGAAAAAAAAGAAAAACTATCAGTAAACAAACAGCAAAACTTCTTATTTCAGTATTTTATAAGAATCTCAGGCTTCCAATATGCATTTATGCTTAATTCCTTTTCTCTCAAGAACTATGAGGCTTATATCTCTAGTCACATGACACTGAATAGCTTTATTTAAGCTAAAACTATTGTAGTTTTTCAATCTTCTCTACCTTTCTTTCCCTCCAAAATTTCATGTTACTCCCTTTCATTTTCTTACTAAATCACAAATATCACAATGAAACTTAAATGGAAAATATTTAAATATGATAAGTCCTCATTCAATAGTCTTTGGGAATCCATGGCATACAATACCACAGTAGCCTGAAGTTTTTGACAAAAATCAAGTAATGAAGTATTTTACCTGGCTGAACAACTGGTGGTCCTTAGGGAATGAAGAGGAGAAATGAAAGAGGTCATGTACTAAGTGCCCCTAGTAGAATTCAGTATAGTGATGAAAATGAAAGTGTCTTACAGATGTCAGCGACTTTTTGACTTCTCAGCATCTGTGATAAAAAGCTGACTTGCTGTGACCTTACATTGTACAGCACTTTGTACTTTTGAAAGGACTTCCATTTTTCTTATCCATTATTCCATTATCTCATTCTTCTCAGTCTTCAAATATCTTGAGCTCTCAGGATCCTATTAAAGAGCAACCTTCTTGTGAATCTCTTCAAGGCTACTTGAGGACACCATGAGCACCTCCCTGCTAAAGCTTATGAATGCCTCTGAAAGTTCATTCTGCTTATTACCTCCAATCTCCCGCATACATACCAAGCCCAGTCTCCCCTTAATACTGCAAAAATTATTTAGTCCCCTTTATTGGTGGTTGCTATCACATGGCCCATGAATATAGCCATCAACCCCAATTTTATTCATTTTTGTTCTCTTCACGCTCAGGGTTGTCTTAGTCATGTCCATGACTTTCAAGCATGTAACTCTGTGAACATTTCCAGCACCCCAACACCACCTCCTTACTGAACTAAAATGTATCTGCAAATATGTTTTTCCCCAGGAAACCACTTTCCCAGCCAGACATCATTAGCACAATCCCTTTTCTAAATTTAGGATGAGAAATTCCTAGTGTATCTTTTGTTATCCTCCCTCCAAGCCTGGTATCTTCCAGGCATGGAGCTTGGCCTCTGTGTTTCATTCTCCTTCTCACCTTCAGAGATAGCATCCTCAATTGCCTAGTCTTGGCTTTTTGAAAACATTTGAGTGTTTCTATCAACAAAAGTAGTGTGACCTTCAAGGTCTCAAGAGCATACTCAGATGTGGATTTCAAGTCTCTTCTGCTCCATCCTTACAACAATGCTGCATCAGATTTAATATGCAAGAATATGTTACCAACCTCAGATATACATGTTACCCTCATGCATGATGTATACCTGCAGTTTACTCAGACTAGTATTGCCTCACTACCTAACCTCACTCCTATTAATCCTTCAAGGGCCAATGCTGCCTTTTGAAGTCTTTCTTAATTTTCCTTTCACCATTAAAATAAATGGTGTTATGTAATGCTCCCACAGCAATTTGTTCATACCTCTATTATGGCCTTTTAAATTCTGCCTCCTACTATACTTGGCTTTCTGTGTCCTTGACAGAAGTGTAAGTTCCTTGATGGCAATGACTGTCTCATTCATCTCTGGGCCTTTACACAAAGCAATTGCTCCATGAATGAATGTGTAGTGTCAACTCTCAGGGAATTAAACAAATGAAAAGCAATGTTTGGTCCAAGTAATAGAAAATTGCAGCTAATTCCTCAGCCAGGTGAGAACATAACCTTCATCACAGTCTTGGGAACTGAGAACCTGTGTAAGGTCAGTGTTGAGGACAACTTCCCCAAACTGGATGTTTGCAAGTTGACTTTAGAGGACTTCAGCAGCTGCTAACTGATTGAAGACAAGTAGGAAGTTGTTTCCTCCAAGGTCAAGCTTTTAACAAGTGTCTGCAATGTACACTAAGGGATTTGGCTGTACTCCAATTATGCTAATATGTCTTATATATGGTCCTCCAGCATCCAGGAACCACCTCCCTAAACAATTTAATAAGTGTAAATACCAAGGCAGAGTTGTAAATGTGGAACTTATTTGCAATGTACCAACCTTGTTATTATCAAATGTCATGGGGTATAAGTCATGACAATTATGCTGCCTGGTTTTTATTACATTTATTTTACTTCTTAAAAGTGCACTATATCCTTAAAAGCTTTCCCTATTCTGTGCTGCCTGTGAAACCTAGGCTGGATATGGCTTCCAAAGTCACAAAAGGCAGAAACATTAGGGTCACAGTATTAATGAGCACTTCCAATAAGGAAGTGACCTCACTGGCCATTGACACCATTCACTGATACTTTCCATCAGGACTCACTGTATATATCAGTTTAAGCTGATATTTTGTGAGCTTCTCCACACAAGAGATTCCATTATTTGAAGTAGAATTGTTTCCTTGCCACCTTCCTCTCTCTTCCTGAGCATGTGGGCGTGTGTGTAGCTCTGTTGTAGAGAAGCTGACCATTTTTAGTAAAGCCTTGGAATTCTTTATTGGTAGCGTGGTGCAATACAGTCTAGAGACATCTTAAGTGAGGTAACGCGTATAGAAAAATGATGGGAATCTGACCTGATTTTCCTGGTTTGGATCATCCTGAACCCCACAATATCCTTTTCCTTTTCATGCCCAAATACTTTGCATCAGTAACTCAGAAACAGAACAGCACATGGTTATGTTACTAAGCATCCCAAGGCAACAGGTTCTATTCTCTCAGGGGAGTCATAGTAACACAAATTTGCAGGCTTCCACGGAATTAGATAGGAGAGATACCTCCCAGACCACAAAAGTATTCTGGAAAGTTGACCTCTTCTTAAGGCTTTTGAGAACTGCTACTGTTTTCAAAGATTCCTTAAAAGAGAATGTCTGAAAGGAAAGCATAGGTCATTCTTGGACCCATAAAGTACTTTAGGGTTCTTCTTGTCCATAATTAGAGTAATTTCCTTTGTTCTGGGTATGTGACTCACAAACCATATTATACTAGGTATGTTTCATGTCTCTGTGATAGCATACCATCCAGAAATCAACTAAAGCAGGAAGTTTGGGCTTAGAATTACAGATGTTGCAGTCCATGGTGGAGAAGTTCCTGGCAGTGGAAGTGTATGATAGAGGCTTTTACACATGGCAGGCCAGATAAGAGACAGCGGGACCAGACCCTAAGATTGGGCTACATCTTTCAAGAGCCTGCCTCTAGTGGCCGAAAGGCACCATCAAACCAGCTTGGAAAAAGGCTCTCACAACGCGAACATGTAAGGGACATTTCAGACTCTTACCATGACACATTAACAATAGACTATGTGTCTCCCCAGTTTTCAGTCCACACATATTCACTAAACGTCTACTCTATGCCAGATTTCATACTAGATACTGCATAACAAATGGAGTTGTATTCTAGGTCTTCATGACTTTATAGTAAAACACATGCCAATGTTAAACAAATCATTATAATATTATAATCATCTTAAGTATCTAGGGAGAGGGTGCAGACACTGGGAGAAAAAAGAATAATTGTTTGTATAAGTGTGGTGAGAAGGGGTATTGGCTAGACTGTGTGCTCATGAGAGCCTTCTCTGTGTCTGTGGTGCTGAGGGATCAAACACTGAGCTTAGGCATATTAGGCAAGTACTCTGCCAACCAAGTTACATCTGCAACTCCGAAAGGCCTGTCTGGTGAAGTAATGTTTAATGGAATACCTAAAGGGCTAGTAGAAGCCAACCAGATGAAAAGTAAGAAATTGTAGAAAGTTAATATCAAGGAAATAAAGTCCATGTAATGAATTGGTACATTTATCAGTCTTTGTTTCAAATATAAAATAGGGATTTTTAGAGACATCAAATGAAAAGGAGAGTGCAAAATTGGCCACCAGTAGTTTTGCTATTACATGCCACAGGGTTAAATAAAATGCACAGAAATGAATTATGCAAATTTCAATGCACACACATACACTGTCCATATTTCCCTTGCTCAATATCTGTATGCAGTTGAGGGACAGTGATGGATGGCAGATATCTAGCTCCTCCCCTAGGGCTTCAGATAAGCTCTGTCTACTGCTTAATATGACTTCCACTCAGATCATTCATGGAAATATCGGCACTTAAAGATTTAACTTCATATGCACATGCTCCAAAGAACCTTTCCATATTTGCTCAATGAGAATTCATATTCATCACTTTCCCTTCATGGCTATAATACATTGCGTATAGGTGCTAGGAATTGGACCCAGAGCCTCATGCTTATGAAGTAAGTACCAACTGAGCTATACTGTCAGTCCCTCTAATTTGTAAGTGTTCTAAGTAAATAATATATTGTTTAGATTCAAACTCAAAGAGGGTTCCAAAGGCAATACATCCAACACTCCTATTTCCCCTACCACAGACATCCCAATGCCCTTCCTTAGAGGTGATTTATGTTATTTGGATTTTTGTGCAACTTTACAGATAAATTTTACATAAATGTGTAATGCGTACTTTCCCTGCACGTTCTTATTCCACAAACGTACCTTACAGTCAAACTTAGAGATACTTCCCCTGGAACACAAGAATTTTCTCTTTTTCTTACATGCCTCAGTTCATTGTGTTTATGTCTATCTCCCTGCCAAGGATTTCAGTTCAGAGAGGTTATGTATGCATATCCTCTGTTTTTCTGTATCCTTGCAGAACTCTGTACCTTGGACTCTAGTGCTATACATATTACTCAGTAAACGGTTGTTAAATTAAATTGCTCAAACTGTTGCCAGATTAATCTTCCTGAAACTCTCTTTTGCATATGGTACCCCCACTCACATACAAACATCATTAACTTCTAATTGCCCACAGCACACATTTCACATTCAAGGACCTTTAGAGTCAAGAACAACTTTTCTTTCCAGAATAATTGCTACTCCCAAGAAATACATCCACTGTTTTAACCAACAGGTCTCACTGGAGAATTGTTACAGCCTACTGTATATAATTGTGTGTGTGTGTGTGTGTGTGTGTGTCTGTCTGTCTGTCTGTCTTACTCTAATGTTTCTCTTCTAAACCGTAGATCTCTGAAACTGAGGTATTATTGAGTGCTTTTACTTATCCTAGGACAGTGCATGCAACTCAGTAACGCACATGACATTCTTCATGGGCTTGTAAATATCTTTCTCCAAGCCTTATTCTTCCCCTCCCCTGTCCCCTGAGCCTGGCATGCCCCAGGCTGAATGATAATTGTCCAGATTCGACATTTCCTTTTGGCAGAGATAGAAGGCAGTTGGTTTCTCTAATCCAGTTTCATTTTTTAATCATTTATTCCTCATTCAAGTCAGAGGAGCTATGGGCAGAGGCGGTGATGGGGTCAAAGCACAAAACAAGTATAGTTTCTGGGAGCAAGCTTTTCTTCCCCTTTTAACACATTTGTCTAGAATTCCATTTATTTAAATCCCCAAACACTGACTTTCCATGTGTCTCAAACAATGGAGGCTGCTTTGAGATTCAGATCAAACACCAGTGAGGCACTACCATGGCTGGCTAGCACTTCAATAAAGCACAGTAGTATTTAACACTATCAACTCAAAGATGGAAGTGTTATAATAGCTACCACTTAGAGAGCTCTATGTGTCCGGGCTATTC